CTGATTACCGAAGCATCATCTTCTCTTCGGTGTTCATTCCAACTCTGCTTCCAAAGTGCAACGTTACAGGCTAATCTTCCAAGTAAATTCAATGTTTATCCTTTACAAAAGAGGCCATTTCCTCATCTGCTATGAAGATACATCTTTTCTCTTCCTTTTTTTGGGTGCCTTTTTGGATTTTTTTGCTGGGGTCATGCTACTTTGAGAGTCTGTTTCATCAACTTTGGCAGTAGGTTCACCATGTTCTGTGTCAACATACTGTCTACTCTCTTTAGCTTTGGAAGATCTTTTCCGTTTGGCGTCCTTGTGTGGTGACTCACTCAGCATTGATGCAGGCTTTGATATTTTTCTAAAGATATCATCAATGTCGTCATCCTGTCAAAACAGAAATACATTGTACAAATCAAGGTTCCGAAAAAAGATTCAGTATATCAATAACACCTGAACAATGTCACAGAGTGTACTGAAGTTATTAGGACTCCTTAGTTTGGTTTAAGTCCATACAGGCATGTACATGTATTTACAGTTATCATGGCAACCATACCTCACTGGATTCTTTACTCTCTTCTGCTATTTCCAGTGCCATCAACTCATCCGGGTACTTAGAAACTGGCTTCATGATGTCATCTACAGATATTTTCTTTTTCGTTTCTGGAAAATAGGGCAAATTTTGGTGTTATCTTAAAAGAGCTGACAGAAAATTTTTTGGGGGTGTATGGATTTGAAAAGTACAATGGATTGAGAATGGGCAGGTCCATACAGTTTTAACTGTAACATAAAATGCTTGTTTTTCACACTCACAAAAACTAAACAAGCCTCTGCGATAAACACTTAACACTGAATATATTGCTCAACTTACTGGAAGACTGGTCATCTCCAATGATGTCAGCAAAGAGCTTTCTCTTTCTACTTTCTCTTCCTTGTAGCTCCTCCCAATCTCGCTGGCGAAGCTTAAATAGACCCACAGCACAGTTCCGATGAACAAACTTACCTAATCATACCCAAAAAATTGGTACCAAAGAACACACATAAATTCAAACACTTTGGGCAACTGAATAAATAAATAGTAAAATTATTTCAAATGTCCAACAGACCTTCAAATGCTGTGTTACCACTCTAGAAATCAGAAATTCATAGGCTTAGATTAAGCCCATAGCTTGTGAAGTTTACGCTGACAAGCTCTTTGAAGACACTGAGCAAACAATACGTTCTGACCTTGACACGAAAGATTCTTTTATGCTTAGTTCTAAAAGCTTTTACTGTGAGCCTAAAAGAGTTAACATTGGAAAGATTAACAAAGAATACAGCCTTTTGACAAAGCGCATTTGGCAGATGGGCTACACAGGTGATTGTAACACCTAAAGACAACACAACGCTGTACATGTGAACACTTTGCAAATAACCTACCAAAATGGTCTGATTGGAGCTGCTTGTCCTTTTCAGCTAACGCTTGAACCAGAGTGCTTTTTGTTCTCAGTGAAGCTGCCTTGAAGATAGCTTCTACGCATCTGCTTCCTGTCTTGTGGCAGGCAATCTTGAAACAATTTGTCTTGAAATGCAAACAACAGAAAAAAGACAATCCAACCTCTCACAATCTGAGTCAAATATCACATCTCTTTTCTGATGAGAAAACTTGGTCATTTTTTCAATTTTGATAAGGCATACCTTTAGTTGAGCTCCTAATCTATCTTTTTTCTTCTCACTGACCATACTGCTAGTCATGAAGGCTTCTAACAGGTAACTACCACTAGGAGAACATGCCATAGCAATCAAGTCAGCATCTTGTAAGGCCATGAAGCCAGCTATGATTGGACCACAGTGACTGAACTTCAGCAGCTGCTGAAGGAGTAGGGATCCGTGAAGGTTAACTTCACTGAGTCCAGGCTAGATGGACAAAGAGAAGATGAGATTTAGATCGATATACTAAACTACAAATGATTCACATGAAGTTATTTACAATGAATTTTTTACCAAGAGATGTAAATTTTAATTTTGGGTTAAGCCCTCGTTTGTTGTACTTCATGCAAAAAAGCAGTAGCTTAAGGGGTCTCTACACTGCAATTATTTAAATACAAACCTTCAGTCAACACCTTTGTATCTCAGTTGATCTAATTTCCAATTTTTGTTTCACTATTTTAAAGGGCCTTTCTATGCTGTTTTTGGTATTTATGCTAATGAGTATTTTCATATTATTGAGAAAAACTGAGATGTCATCCCAGGAAGAAAACCTTGATGATTTGTGCAGTCAAAACTGCTGGATGCGATTTTGCTAGCCACTATTTTCCTTCATTTGATGATTCGTTGTTGTGCAAGTGCATACATGCAGCATTAAACAAGTGAGAACCTCTTTCTCAGGAGGGTTTTCTGTGAGAAATGTCTGGTTTCACAATTTGAACAGAAAAACCCACGCAGTGAAACCTGTCTTCCCTGAATGACATCATAGCAACGGTACCCTCAGCATGGACAATTTCAAATTTTGAAAAAGTGCACTTTTCAGTACATTTAACTTAACAGGGTTGTCAAATAATTTTCATAAACTGAAGAATATAAAGTTACAGAAAAAATTTGTAAGAAACACTACAACTACCCTTTAACCACTTGGTGCCGGATGATGTGTAAACACACAATTTTCCATATTTGTTCCACAAAGGACGTGTGCACTCGTTTTAGAATTTTTTTTCATTTCCGCAGTTGACGTATTGATGCATTGTGCTTGGTTGCGTCATAAGTAAATAGCAATTTTGAAGAATTTGCAGGGGAAAAAACTCACCATGGCAGCTTTTTTGGGTAAGAAAATCTGACGTTAACTGGCTAAAGCCTCGTGTGAGATGCGAACCCATGACCTACTTTTTACTGGTGTAGGTGTCTTTACTATTAAACCATTCAGCTTTCCTAGCAATCTATAAACCTTGATGAAAATATTCATTTGGGGCAGTGTAAATTTTGACGCTGGGTTTTGCCAAGGGTGGGTTTTGCAAATTAATCAGAGAGAAACAGGAGCAAAGAGCAGAAATATATAGACAGAAATTAACGATCTTTACCCAACGTATATAAATAAACACTGTATGTTCAGTGCTTGTCCGAGAGCTTGCGAAAAAAAGTCACAAGCTTACTCAAATGGGACTCGAACCCACGACCTCTAGTGCAGACGTCTTAACCACTCGACCACCGAGCTTGCCGGGGTCGGCTGGCCGGTCCGAGTCAGGTGAAGCAGCGGGTACCGCGAACTATTTTCAAGATGTATTTTTTGCGTTGGGGAGATGTTAGTTTATATAACGGATTATAGATTAATATATACCTTGGGTAAGGACAAAACCCGTTATATAAACTGACATCTCCCCAACTAAAAAAAAAATACATCTTGAAAAGAAATTAATGAGTTAAAAATGTCTGCATTTACCAAGAAAATCTGAAAAATTTTAACAACAGAACAGAACAGAAAGGAACATTTTCCTTTGAAAAAGATTCTGCTAGGATCAAAATGTCAGGCCCTCCTTCTTTTGGGCCGAGAATAGATTCATTTGACTGATTCAGAAATTCTGAAGATATCCAACAATAAACCCAAACACCATCCCATGATACTGAATTCCTCCCTAACCAAGTAAACCTTTGCCAATGCTCTGACCAACATATCTCCACTAACCTTTGTTGCCTTGTCTTGTTCCTGGTCTTCTTTGCTCTCTGAGAAGAAGACTTCATGCGTAACCATGCCAGCAATGAGCAAAACACATGTTGCTTGTCGCTTTCTCGGTTCCCAGCAATTGAATGCACTTAACAATCCCTTCAAGAAGTCACCTTAATTCATACAAAGTACAGATAAGAACTTCAATAAGATGATTCCTCTCTTGTCTCTTATTTCCCCACACTCTATACCATGGCATAAATCAACTTACATTACATTTTGAAGGTTAGTTACATACAGTTTTTCAGTTTCAACTGTCGAAAGTTTTGCATTGTTTCAAGGCTGGAAGTGATTCATCAAAACTCATTCACTAACAAAAGCTATGTTGCTGTACCAACAAAAGTCCAGAGTTCTGGTGACATTTTCAGTCCCCTGAACATTGAAGTGATGATAACATAACAGGCAATTATTCAGAATTCTGCAGACACCGAGAATTAAGTAAACACAGTAAACCACTTGTTTTACATGATCCAAACTGATCTTCAAAGTAAATTGCAACAGACTCACTTTGTTTAGCTGGGTGATGGATGCATGCCTCAGCTAGCCTCAATACTACACCCATGTGATTAACTCCAAGAATAGCCTCAATGTTTGCTAAGAGTTTGTCAAAGATCTCTGAAAACTGAAATAAAAATTCGAGATATATGTTGCCCATCCATTACTTCCTTACAAACTGCTGACTTTCTTGCTAACATAGGGAAAGATAGAAGACTGAGTAGCTCAAGTACAATGCTCCAGCGTTTATAGGCTCAAATCCCATCCAGTATATTTCTTTGTTATATCCTGTATACATCTGTCTATGGTATTAACCCTAACAATCCTCAGTCCTCCAACAGGTGAAGGATTGAGGAGGGTTAGGGTTAAACCTACCTCTTCTTCCTTTGCTGCTCTTTTAATTAATTTCTGGAGCACAAAGTTAGCCACTGGGTGAAGAGCCATGCCTAGTAGGTGATGGCTGAAGCACTGTGAGTAGACCTCAGAGAATGACTCATCAGAGATTACCTCAATGACAATCTCAAACAGGTGGCTACCAACATTGTCTGTCAATACTACCGGAACCCTGAAATTAATCAGATATGCACCGTTTAACAAGTACATGTACTCATTTTATCAACGGGTGCTGTTCAATCACCAGGTCATAAAACAGCAGTACCTTTGGTCACTTTGGGAAGGATTCTTGGACATCACTTTAGACTTCTTGAGGATAGCTTGACAGAGGCGGTGGCACAGACCAGGATAAGACTGCTGCAATATTAGGAGTAGAACCTCTAAGACAGGGCTGGAGGTACGATGCAGCACATACTCTAGAAAACAGCGAAAGTGATGCATTCATAGCTTTGAAAACACATCTTAGGGTCTATTCACAGTAACCTTCATGAGAATGGAATTGGCAGACTGCAGAGAAGGCAATAGATGAAACATTACCATTGAAGTTCTCTGCACTCAGGATAGTGTTGGTGATTTTCTTGAGTCTCTGCTGCATCCTCTCTGGTACTTTTGTAAGAAGTTTCTCAATCTCTCTGTTAGTTTCTTCAAGACACAAATGAAATACAATGTGTATTTTTTCCATTATTCTTGGTGTACCTATTGTTATCATTGGGGGATCAGGGCCTTAAAACCCCCTGATTAGTCTAATAATCTCTTGATGAATATCAGTGAAAAAGTCTTTGGGGATTACCTTCAGAGCAACATGGTAGGTTAAGGGATATTTACGAAGGAAACATGTTCAGAGTATTAAATGCACTGATTTCTTAAATCACTCACCAACGCCATCTAATTAGAAGCTCCAGGAAATTGGGGTATTTATTTTTTGTGACTCATACAAAAAGAGGGTCACTCACAACTATTTACTTACAGCTGATTTTGATATCCTACCTTTGTCTTGCTGTTCCCTGGACAACCTACTTCTTGCAACCAGGTCTGGCACCTTGAACCCACCAAGTACTTGCACCATGGTACGAAGAATGTGGTTGCCATATGTGTCCATCAACACAGTGGTCAAGTTGGTGATTAACAGGTCAGCCATTGAAAGAACTGGGAGTAAAATGTTGAAGAGTTCAATCTGGTGTCTTGGGTGAACTGCTACACCAGAAACAGTATTACCAAAAAAAACTGTTTGAGTAAATTTTTATCTATTTCTGATCAAGAAACCAAGGGTTTATCAAGAACACCCATGGCAAGCCTGAGCAGAACACAGAGGGAAATAAAATTACGTGGAGTTTCAGAGGTTGAATAGCTCAGGTGAGTGTCATGGGGAACCCTCAGTATCACACAGTGATACACATTCGATAGTACCATTCGTTAGTAGTGTTTGTTTTTGGATAGTACCAAAACCAATAGTCTCTCTTCCTAGTCCTCACTTGTGAGATAAATTCACACCCTATCTAATGTGATTATACAGATAGAGATTTGAGCTAAGCCATTCCTCTTAAATATTTTCATTTTATGCACAGGTATACAGTTGATTACAAAGGTATTAATGAATAATTGTTATATCCCTCGTTAGTTTCTCCATGTGACCTTTACTGTGCACTGCCGATAAATAATATAATAACATCTACCGTACATGTCTGATACACTGCATCCAACTGATGATGAGAAGTTACCAGACTCTATCAGGCCTCACCCTTCTCCTGAAGTACAGCTCCTTCATCTTCATCATCCAAGAACTTTGTCGTTTGCAGCAGTGCTCTCTGGATCACATGTCCAGCAAAGCGATCCTTAACAACCACCTCAAACTCCTCAAGAACACCAGTGAGAAACCTTCGGAGATGGGTCGGCTGAGCAAGGAGCAAGATGTCTTCCAAGATGCGAGAAACTGTCTGGTTCTGACATAGTTTGACTTCTTCCGTTTCCATCTGGTTAAATACATTGTCTAGGAAAAGACCTACCAAGAAATGGTTTGAACATCATTTAGAGGGACATTTTCTCTTTCAGGGGACTGATTTTGTCCTGGAATAAAGGGACTTCTCCAAATACAAGGACAGTCTATGAGTTGTGATGTGCACCTGACTACCGGACCTTATTAAATTATACCATTCATATTACTGAATCAGTGAGTGCAGAGCAGAGGCTAGGCTAGCCCAGGTTGGACATTGTCTTCATTTACACTATGACTGATGTCCAGTGTATAAAAGTCCTCCTACAATGCGAAATTTTCTACCTTTTTTTCTCACATTTTCACCTGGCGAAAGACAGCTCAAATGTCCTTCACAAGTGTCTTGTAAAAATTCCATAAATCCTGTGTTGAAATTGCTAAATACGTCCATGGACAGCATATTTTGCAGGAAATTTTACAAAACGGAATGCGACAGATAGCGTGGAGTTTCGCAAAATAAGATGCGAAAAAAAATGGCGTCATGCGGTGGCTTTCACTGAACTCCTGAGGCATGTCAGGTACATGAAAGAAAATTCTGGTTTTCTTGCTTAAACATTGCCAAATTCACCTAAACTAGGGCTACTATAAAAAGTACTAGGATTAAAGAATGGATCCTCAAGGTCTGAAAGTCAGTTTGTTTGAAAAGTGGACTTAGCCTAAATATAAATGGCGCTCAAGGTAATGAACCCCAAAATTGAAAGAAAATGTGTGAAGAAACCGTTGAGAAAAATTCGCACTGTAGGAGTACTTTATACCCTGGACATTAGTCGCAATGCAATGTACATGTAAATGATGTAGACGTCGTCCAACCTGGGCTAGGCAAGACTCAGCTAAGCTAGTAACATAACATGACTAACGAGTAACGACACGTTATTTACCGTACGCACCTTGTTCGATTTCGTCAGGAAATCCATCTTTAATTGTATCTGCCACTCGACGATAATAGCCCATAGTGTGTTCATCTAGTCTACCGACCCTTCCATCGTGTTTTCCATCTTTTCTCCAAGTACCTTCGACATGATGTTTCCCCTTTTCGAATTTGAACTTGTTTTTTCGTGTGGCCGTTGGTAAACGTGATATGTGCCTAGGCGCTGCCATTTTGTAAAGCGCCCTCTTTTTCGTTTTTCTTTCTTTTTTATTTTTTATTTATTTATAGTTTTTGGCGCGAAGAGGCTCCGTACCAGACTGCACTGGCCAGCTGCGCTTCGACCGCGTTGCATACACCGTGAAGTGGTCTTTGTACGAGTATCTAGGTGCTATGCGCGCCTTGAATCAAGGCTACAGCAACACGAGATCCTGACGAAAACGCTTTTGACCAATCGGGGCCAATTTTACAGTGCTGCCTAAGCAAAAAAAATTGTTTAAGCGTGAAAAGCCTTGCTTGACAAATTCATGTTAACAGACAAAACTTCTTGCGATGTATATTGTTTTGGAATGGTATTTACCTGTCTTTTGGTTAGTATGACAACCACATATTATAGAGTTTGAGCTGGTAACCTTTGTTTGTTAACTTAGCAAGTATTCTGCGCTGTATGTGCATACATAACGAAGGAAGCCCACTAAGTTTCAGCTCTGACTCGAGTTGGGGTTTAATTAATTGAGTTAAGTTGCAGTCCTAGCGGTAAGCTTAGAAGGCAGTGAAATCAATGTCTCATCTTTCGGCTCCCGGCCGAAAGTGAATTTGGTGGAAGCGTACTTGGTTCTAAAACTGAAGACAGCACCGTGTAAAGTGTATAAAGGCTGTAACTCACTGCACTGCCGGAAATCAAAATATCCCATTTGAAGTAAAGAGACAAGGACGGATACCGGTACAGAACCCAATTTTTAGTAAGGGCGTAAAAGCAAAAATTTGGAAATTATTTTCAGGATGTAACCTTTTGTGACATTTCTATGGGTTAGGCTACATTATATAGGGCTTTTTACACACTTTTTGGAAAAAAAGGAAATAAGAAACATCGAAAAGTTCGCGTTTCTATTATTGTTTTGCAGCAAAGTCTGCCCATTTGGAGCCGGAGGCGAGCACCACCCCTGTTACCACTCACGTGCCATTGTAGAGGGACTATTCTACTGTACAACAAGAATTTCAGGTTAGTCAGGCGATTGTAATTTCGTTAATGCTAGTCTGTTTAATTTGGTTCAAAGGTCATCAACATCGCAATGATCATGGCTAAAGGTTAATGTATGGCATACTGGAGTATAAAAAATATTTTGACAGCACTGGTGCACCGAATAAGGTGTCACTGGTACATGGTCTTTACTGTCAACTGGAGTGGAAAAAAAAGAATATGATGGAAGACTGTCAAAAATCCCGTCAAATAATGTAGTGTGGACAGCAAGGTTCCTTCGATTGCATTAAATTAATACAAAACATCTAATTAACGTTTGCCTTATTTTAGAAAGTCTGTTTTACAGTCACTGCTGTACAAATTTAATATTTGAATTTTCAAACAGTGTAGTTTACAGCCCACACATCTTGTTGCACGACTATATTGGAAATGAAGCAATCGGCTCTGCGTCATCTTGCGGGTTACCTACGTAGATACAAAAAGTTCCCTTCAGCAGATCGAAAACACCTGGGGAAAAACAGTTATAAAATTCAACGTGTGTGCTTCGAAATAACATTTACAGATCAGAAATGAATAGACGTGGATTTTTAAGAAACGGCAGATCTTGTTTTGAGGTCTTTAGATCCGCCAAATTGCCATGTTTTTCGCTGGAAGCGTTTCGTCAAATCCAACAGGGAAATGGGATAATGTACAGAAATAGCGTACGAATGACACTGTCGGACCTGTTGCAAAAGTAGCAAATGTGTCTGGTGGTGTGCCATTTCTGTAGACAGGGTAGACAGGATGGTCTTGGTTGCCAAGGATATCGAGGACTTTGTTGAAGTCTGCAGGTAACCTTGCCAAGTCGAGCAATGTGCGTTTACGCTGCACAGAGCTCTGATCTGTGTGCTGTTCTACCTCAGGCATACGTTCATACCTATCCTTGGGAACCAAACAGAGATTGAAAACAAAACAAATAAAACAAAACGTCCTGTTTAATCGAAAGGGAAATTCTGTCATGTCCAAACTTCAAGGAAACTCTCTGCAAAAGCTGATATACATCATTGCAGATAGAGCAACGGCTATTAAACGGGTGCCTGTGTATGCGGCTTTGATGCTTTTTAGAAATAACATTCCACGTCGATGTTTGGACGTGTAACATAAGTGACAATAGTCACTAAATTAGGGACATAACTGCTAATCGCCTACATCAGGTGTGCCACAAAATGATTGAAGCATTATGGTTAGGCCTACCTGTGAAATTTTGAACGCATGTGCATACATGTAGGACCACCCCACCTTATCCAATGACAAATAGTTTTATTTTAACCCGATGCCACGTGACATAAACAAGCAAATCAACATCGTCCATCCCATATTATTCATTCAGACTCCACCCACATGTTGAAATGGAAAGCGACTCCACTTTCCCAGTCGGAAGACGTCGGTAGTCTCTTTATATGGTAAGGCTGTGGTGTCGCATGGGCTCGTGGTGCCACTTCAATATTCATCATTAGTATTTCAGAGGAATTCTTTTGTTTTTGAGACAAATTCACACTGTAATAAATGAGGAACAATAAAAAGGTAAGCAAACTATATAACACAAGAAGATACTTCAAAGCCCGTCTATACTTCCTGCATTACTAACCTTTTAAAATAATTTTTAATTGAATGCAGTTGTCTGTTCATTTAGTAGATAGTACCTGACTTTCTGCATCCTTATCGGTGCTTAATACTCTTTATCATAATATTTCTATAACCATTCGATTACTTTAGAAGTTAAACTGAAGAAGACTTTTTAACAACATAAGAAATCAGCAGAAAATTTTGGTTTATCAGAATAAAATACCTAAATCCGTAGCCACAGCCGAGTGGGTCGTCTGCAATGATCGCCTGTGCCCCCTCTAAGCTTTTAGCAGAAGCAAGTGCACGGGTCAACGTGTAAATTCCTTTAGAAAAGTGAATTCAACGCAGCAAAACACAAAACAAAGAGCAATTAGTTGCAAGACCTTTTAACTTTAGGCATCATTGCATTAAAAACAAGTAGGCCCAGTAAGATAAGCATGTACATTATCAACAGGTCTGCATGTAAATAAGTCTTGATGTAGCTTCAGATTTTGATGTGATGCGTTGACCAATTTTTGAGACCTATAGCATTTGCCCTAACTAACCTGTTCTCCTCCTGCCAATGTTTTTGGGAAACAAAATATTTATTGACCACATAAGCCCGTGGTGGTTAACTGTCATGCAATTTCCGGGGAGTCTCCCTGGGTACGTATAAGACACAAAGCGTTCCGTAGGAAGATGTGGATAAAGATCCGGGTCAGGCTTGATGTGAGCGTGAACCACGTACGCCAGTCGCTCCGTTAGCCTATCACCGTCCTCGTTGTGTGCGATGACACTCTGTAAAATTATAGGTGAAGGGTTCAAAAAATATGTAGTTAGTCATGATTTTGGCACAGTCGGGGTGTGGATCATGCAACCCTGCCCACAGATCATTTTCATTGTAAATATTTAATCAAGTTTGAACAACTTAGATTATCATTCTATAACGTTCAGATCTACACATGGCAACATCCACAAATATGAGAAAACGCCTGTGTCTTCGATTTGTCTTAAAAACCTTCATCCGCATTTAATGCAAGCTCTGGCCTACGTGAATAAATATTTTTCTTCTTCATAGTTGAAAATGCTGCAGAACTATTTATATAAACGCTTAAATTGTGCTAAATTGCCTATTTTGTGACAATCAGCTGCAGAGAAATGCTACCGGTCGACCAGACAGACCGCCTGGCGCAAACGAACTGAAAGATTTTGTACGAACAATAGAGGGCCTGCGTGGAGCGCCCTCACAGAGACTGGTCTTTGTTCCTGCATGTGGGATATGCTTGAGTAGACACTAGGGTCGAGTTCGGGCGCCTGTTCTTGACACGGGTTTCTTGTTCTCAGGCTCGCCATCGAACGGCGGGAACATGACTCAAGAACACCGTTGTCGGAACAGGATCACACGCCACCTCCTCGTCAGGGTTTTACAGGAACACACGGACAAACTTGTGAAATTCTGATTTTGAACAGCTGCAAAAGTAGAGAGATGGCTTCCAAAGCCATAAAAAATGGGAAGTTTTGCAAAATTAACATTAATTATTTTCCGTAACACAGAAATGAATGTTCCTGTTTATATAGAAATAATTCAGCCCATCCAAACATTAACTCTCGAATAACGTAGCCTATATGGACGCCGCCACGTTGTATGTTGCTTGTCACTAACTACCATCGGTAACCGGTTGTTTGTTCCCGGCGTTCGAGCGGCCGACCCGCGAACCACAACAAATCGAACTGTTCGTGAACATACGGGAACAAGCCGCCCGAACTCGGCCTAGGGCCGAGTTCGGGCGGTTTGTTCTCGTGTACGCGTAGTTTCAGGAACAGCTAGCTCGATTTGTTGTTCGTGATGGGCCGGGTTCGGTCGGCCGCTTGAGCGCTGAGAACGTACTGTGCCGGCAAGAAACATGTCGGTTTCCATGTACATTCTTTGACTGATGGTTAATGTTCTGATAACTTGGGCGAATTCTTTTCTATTTAAAAAAGAACATTCATTTCTGTGTTATGGAAAATTATTTTTATGTTACTTTAATTTGTAAAACTTCCTATTGTCTCATGTTTTTGTAAGCCACATCACTATTTTTTTGAGGCTGTTCAAAAATCAAAATCCGAGGTTTCCTGTAAAACGCTGACGTACGAGGAGGTGGTTTGTAATCCTGGTCCAAGAACAGTGTTCTTGGGTCGTGAACCCGCCGCTGGACTCAATCGCTAGAACGAGAAACCCGCGTATGTCAAGAACAGGCCTCCCGAATTCGACCTATAGTACTTCACTGTCATCTACATCTAAATAACAAAACATGTCCTCTGTGATAGCACTCCATTCAAGCCCTATATCAGTTATCCTATATCCAAGAGATCAGCCAATCGACCTGCATGCAACGCCCATTCTGCTTGAATGCCTTTGTGCATTTTCAAAAGGTCGCCTGATGGCAACATTTTGAGGCCGCGCATACTACTGTAAACGAAGCCTCGTAAGAGCAACCCCTGTAGTGACACTGTTGTATCATGGCCTATAAATTTGCAACCAACCCCCAAAATTCTGGCATTATCTTTTTGTAGGCCTGTGGAATACTGAACTTTGGACTGTTTTTTATGGACTTGACTTGAACATACGTGCTGTGTCCCTTGGTAGTCAATGTAGTTAAGCATGATGTCTGTACAGCCTGCCGTTGCTTGCTTTCCTAGCAACCCCAACAACTCGGAGCTTATGTGTAGAAGAAAAATCTAGAGAACAAAAAGTATTTTGAGGGCGCTACAATTAAGAAGTCGCAATCACATGATGTTTTTCTTTAAAAAAGGTAACTCATAATTATAAAATTAAAATAAGGAAAATATATGACATGTTAGCACATCCATGCCGATGTCTAAAGACACTTCAACCTTGGACCGTTATAAGACGAAATGCAGCTCACAGCCAACACCTTATGAGTAAGACTTTCATTTTTACGGTCGTATCAGACTCTGGCTGGCTAGCAGATACACTCCCTCACGCAAACCTCAAAATGCGCACGCGAACCGCAAATTGAACTGAATCTGCTTGCCCTGAAGAAGGTACTCAGTTACCGAAAGCTCGGCAATCACACATTTCAGAGCACCGATTTGTGGATATTCTGGTCATGGTGCTACACAACCCTTCCATATTCCGCAAATTGCGTGTACTGCCAGCCCTACGAACTTCCTAATTTCATGGCATTGCTAAGCAAAATAAGGTTTGCTAACATGGTCATCATTTTATCAAAGGAATTAAGTGGATAATGCAATAGAGTTGTCTTTATGCATGAAATAAACAAACCTTATGGAATTCAACTCCGGATGATTGAGAAATGCCCCGAAGTTCGTCCTCATATTGAGGATAGACCTGCCTCATAGCTTCATGATACTCATTGTAAACAGTCTTCCCTTCATCGGTGTAGTAGTACGGTAGAAGGGCCTCGTTAAGGGCACTACTCTCACTGCAGTAAACCTGAATGTTGTTCTTAAACGTCCTCCCCTAAGGATTTTACACGAAAGAAAGAATTTCTAAGATAAGCTACATGTATGTTATCATGGAGGTAGAATGTCATGGCTTGGGCCCTCACTTCTATGATTTTTTCCCTCTAAATTCATTTCTTGCAGGTGCGTCTTTGGTCTGTACAAGCGACTAATTTGCCGAAAAATGTCCGTTTTCCTAGAAAGTAGAGCCTGAAAGTAAAAGGTCACGAGTGAAGCTTACAGAACCCCCGCGCAGTGTCCGCTCATGGGGTCGTCCTATCACGTTCGATCATTTTTGATATTCAAAACTGAAATCACCCTGAGAAACATAATGTTGGAGTTTTACCCTTATGGTCCACAAGTATAAATATTTTTAAAAAGTCACCTGGATATGGGTAAAAAAAATCTACGAAATTCATTAACGACCTTTCACTTGCGGGCAATATCGTTATAGGTCTCCTTGTTCATACACGTTTGCTTTCACTAAAGCATACGTGAACTTGAAACGAAATCGTCACGGCACAGTACAAGATTTACTTACCTGCACGCAACGGTCGAGTTTCAGTCGAGTTTATCTGAAGCCGTTCTTGTCAGCAACGGTCAGATTAATCTTTAGAATCTGTCATTAACACACATTATTCCTTTAAGTTATAAATAAATTGTAAAATGTTTAAACTCTTGAGTGAGGTTTTCATTTTACCATAGGCCTATAATATAATTAGGTAGCCTAACTGTTCATCGATCTACGTATGAGACCACCCAATTAAAATGGTCTTCATGCTCAGAAGTGAGGGGTCAAATTTTGGCAGGACATTTCTCTTTCAGGTCACATAATTTTTCAGTTTTTACAAATCAATATGCTGGCAAATATTTTACCAAGGCCATCTTCGGAGGTGATTTTTATGAAGTAAGCGAACGGGAAAAATTACAAAAAAATTTCATCATGTTATTTTGCTATCCAAGGGTTCCGGATGCGCTCCACCAGAGATCAACCTATAACGCACGCAGCAATTAATGTTGCATTAACCTCACTCAATAACTCAAACTTTTTAACATTTGACGCGATGTAACAGAGAATCTGTGTTTCCTCTTATCGCAAGCTGTTAGGCCGTGAGGCTTTGCGGGAGTATGTGCCAATCACTTTGCGAATGGGTGCACTTACCATTTCTACTCCAACTTGATAGTGGGTTCCACGTACATACAGCACTGGTAGACTCTGAGTATGTGAGGCACGTGTGGTTTGTTCCGCCATGGTCTGATCATGGTCTGATGGTTCCCGATCGGTGTCGCTAGCTTTTACCGTTCGTGCTTACTAAACACAGCCTGCCTGTTAGTCAAGTCTTTTTCTACAATTAAATTTCAAACTACTGTGTCGGATCGCTGCGACAAATTGTATCTAATAGGTCTACGACACATAAATTTTATCGTATGACAGAATGAAGCTAACCGTAATAATACAGCATCCTAGCCGCCATTCGCGTGTACTGTTTGGTACACTCAGAATCTATTTTGATATAGGAGCCAACCGTGTAGATTTTGTACTACACCACGCAGCTAAAAAAGGTACATGTACAGTTGTAGTTCCATGTGTGTATACTCACACGTACGTACTCACATCTGGTAATAGTTGGTACGTGCAGTCATGTGAGACAAGATAAGGTCATGGGCTGAGTGCTCTGTACACAGTCACTGAACGCACGGGATGACTTTGTAAGAATTAACCTCCATTAGGACGAAACTAGAGGGATGTGGCTGTGGAGAACGCCCACACAGCTGCTTCGGATTTGGACGCCTTTCAACATGTTATTTCTTGCTACATGTACATTTGTAGACTTCCAGTGTTTTGGCAACCAAATCAGACAAGAATTTCAGAAGAGTATGCTTTGGAGGATGCACCTTTCATGTCACATGACTTGCCACCTAAAAACGCCAGATCACATCATGTCAATTTACGTCTATAACACTTCCTGTCGTAGCAATCTGCCAAGTTTCAACCAGTTCGGACAGGTACTTCAGGAGACATAGGGCATTAAATGATAAACTTTGAATGTCTTATGACTTGTCACCTAATAATGTCAGCATATCAATTTTATTTGTAACACTTCCCTTCCTAGTAGATATCTGCAAGGTTTCAACCCAATGGGACATTTAATTACTTTGGAGATATAGTACTTTTAAGGCTGCACCTTCAGTGTCGCGTGGCTTGTCACTTGATGACGTCATCATCACCTCAGGTCAATTTTCATTTACGACACTTCCCTTTCATACAAAGTTTCTACCCAATCAAACATGTAAATTCAAAAGACCTTGAATATCACGTGATTTATCACCTCATGACGTCATCATCCCATGATTTCCAATAGAGCCTAAAAGTAAAAGGTCACGCAGCGAGCTGCCGGAACCCTTGCGCGGTCTGCCTATGGAGATTTGACATCGGGCCGTCCTATCACGCTCGATAATTTTTGGAAAAATAATTCCTTAGGCTACTGAAATCACCCCATGAAACACTCATGTTGGAATTTTACCTTTGTCTTCCTCAAGTAATTTTTTGGAAAAGTCACCTGGAGATGGGTAAAAACGAATTTTATTAACGACCTTTCAAGTCCGGCGATATCATACCTAGGTCTCCATGTTCACGCACGTTTATTTTCATTCGCCGTGCTTTCTAAGTTGAAAACGAGATTGTACAACCTTGCAAAGATTCACCTACCAGCAGCCGATGGCTTCCAGATTCCGTTGAGTTGACATCGCGCAGTTGTTGTCAGCAAAGGTTAGATAAAATATTAGTATCTTTCATAATAGTAGAATATTGCTTTATGTTTATCATCTTATAAATTATCAAACTGTGCAAAATGTTTTGATCTGTTTTTATTTTGGTTTTTACCCAGAGACTAACCATAAAAATTCAAACCGTAAATATTCATCTGCAAACGAGACTGCCGTGTTGCACTGTTCTTCATGTATTTTAGATTTTCGGAAGTGATGGGTCAATTTTTGAAAGGATATTTCTCTTTTAGGTTAGGTAATTTTTCAGTTTCTATAAATCGATAGACTAGCAAATATTTTTTAAAGCTCTTTTTCAAAGTTGGAGGTTTTAAGAAGAAACTGAACAAAAAAATACAAATTCTAAAATCTTTGCACGTTATTTTTCTAATCCAAGGGTTCCGGAAGCGCGCCATCAGGGGTCAACTTTCAGGCTCCATTTGTCCGTCTATATCCAGTTCGTGACTTCGTCATACACGCGGACGAGCCACAATTTGCAGGCTCCCATTCAAGGATTGCTAAAGTTGCACGTTAACTTCCGGTTCCATGGTTCAATGTAAATGGCGATCAATGCATGTAACTCTATGTGCACTGCGTGCGCAGTGGTTTAAACTGAACTGACGTCACACTTATGAACCGGATAACACTTCCCTTTCTGGCTGTGTGCAAGGTTTCAACCCAATAGACCTTTTCACTGATAAATCATAATTATGCACGCATGCGCACAAATGACAAGAGTGCGAGAGTGCTGCGTAATTTTTTTTCCTAGGAGGGTCAGGAGCAATTATCATATATGGGCGTGGTTAACTGCAAGCCCGATGCGATCAGGTTAGTGGAAACTTATAAACTTAAGTTAGAAGGTACATTTCGGTCTTTCCTATTAAAAAACATCCTCCTACCAACTAAGCCGCCCCCCAAAAAAATTAAATAAATAGGGGCCTAGGCCTAACCTTGTAGACTCGAACCCTTACCTTGCCGCTCACAAGTCAAGCACTCCTCTAACTGAGCTACAGTGCAACTGGCCGAGAGAGCAATTTTGTTGTAAGTTATGCTTAAAAGTTCGTCCACCCCATTTGTGATCATTGCCCCCAAACTTCCTTCGAAAAACGCATGCGCAACGGTTCAGATATTACCCCTATAACCCTCTTAAAAACCATTACTGTTGCAATTTTTATCATTTTCTCCACGGTTTTATGTCTTTGTCCATTTTTTTTCTTCAGAAAATCCCATTCAATCGTTTTTGCTGTGACGAAAGGAGACCAGCTTAGATACAGCAATCTTGTGCGCACAGGAAAATCACGATTGTAAAATCTTTTTACAGGGCACTAAAATCCCGCTTAGATTAGAAACTAATAGCAAAAACGATTTAATGGGATTTTCTGAAGAAAAATATTGAACAAAGACAGAAAACCTGGGAGAAAATGATCATAATCGTACCCATGTACGTTTTCAATGGCCTGATCACATTTCTTGTCGTCAAGGCCATTTGTACGCATGCGTGCATAATTATGAATTTATTAGTGAAAAGGTCTATCGGAAATATACTTCAGGAGACTTTGTGCTTTGATGAGTGCACCCTTAATGTCATGTCACACGACCCCTGATGATGTCATTTTGACCTTTTTGTTTCGGGGACCCTGTCCTGCTGGTGGGCTGAGAGAGTATGCACCCAATATGACCTCAGTCAGACCGATAACAACGCCAAAGTCGGACTGTTGAAAAACATGCACAACCTATGGGTAATTAAAGATATAAATACCGGTATTCAAAATCCAATAATAAATCATATGACGACGTCATAGTAACGAATGGTGAATTCAATCAGATTTATTAAAGTACAAAATTCGACTGCCAGAAGACAACGTGTACAAACTCTACGGGAAGAGTGGAAAAGAAAAAAGAGAAAGGGCCATAAGAAAAACAATAGCTGTTTCGGCAGATGTGCCGAAGCAACAATTGATTCAGAAGTGAACCAGGAAAATTCGACAGTGAGTTTCTTTTAATCTGGTCGTTAACTGAGGCTGAGGTATGCCTCAAATGAAACAAACAAGACCACCGGATCGTTTGACTCCAACATTTACTGAGTTGTAGCGTTAACACACACCAGGACTAGTATTAAATGAATTTCCTATCGGAAATTTTGCGTATGTTATCAAGATGACTAATCCATTATTGCAGTTCGAATACATACCCATGCGTATACTACATCGACTGGTTCTATAGTGGTCTTACTATAGTTTCTGAGGTGGTGTGAAGGTCCTCTCTAACGTAGTAAGACTGACAAATTCTTTCTCTACAGTAAAAAAAAAAACCAAAAACTAGCATTTCAAGGCGACAGGGTGGATGGATGGAATGGAAAACTTTTAGGCATAAATTTCAAGTTGTGCCCCACACATCGTTCATTTTGGCAACTTAGACGACACCTCAAGAACTCCGTACTTACTCAGTAAAGCTACGGACGGGCGAGACAGCACAGACACCCGAAGTCAGAAGAACAAATTTAGCCATCATGTTTCTCTACTTTTCTGGGCCACGACACTTTTATTCCTTCTCCATGTCGAAACAACAACATCATGGATGTAAATAATCTACACCTTGACTGATTTATACAGTGAAACTTCTCAAAAACACTGCTCTAAGAAAGAAAAAACCTTCGATGGTAAATCAGTTTACTTCGATCAGGTTTCACAAAGCAAATGTCTACGACGTGCTATTTTATTTCTAAAATCTACGGTGGTAAATGCTGCGCCGCACGAATATAAACAAGAACCCAAATACATGTACACCTAATAGCATCACTTAAGCAAATTAGTTTCCGCTTCTTGCAGCCAAATATTTGGAGGGTAGGGTAAGGGAACGTTTCTATATATATTGTATAAAGAGTTTCAAAAACGCGTCGGCGGCACCCTACCCAACAAAAGTTTATACTCCAACCAATTAAATTCCACTAAACCCACCGGGATCATTACTTTACACCCTTGAATTAACTACATGTAAACCTTTCTATCTGTTTTACAGTGAAACTATCACAATCATTAACATCACCATAGCAAAAATAACTTTTTTCCAAGTCTTTGTGGAAATATTACGACTTCTGGAAATAAAACCATTACTAACACATCAAGACAAAGAGGGAATATTTGCAACTTTAGGAACTAAGTTCAAGATTTAACTGGGTCTACAATTCCAAGCAGTAAACAAAGGAGGAAAAGTTCATTTGTGAAATGAAAGTATTTCTTTTTGTCATCCTGCATGATTGTAGAATAACATATTTTCAAAACTTACAAGGCGGCATCTGCAAGAGGACATTTTTCAAAAACCTTCTCCCCTTCAAACCATCTCAGGCAAGGAATCATGTCAAGTGCTCTGAATTTTCCCCTAAATGTTCACTTTCAGCTACGAAATGTACAAACACAGCCACAAAAACTGCACAGTTAAGAGATTTTAAAAAATTGACAAACTGAAAAATGCTTGACGGTAAGGCCCAAGCAAAATTCCCCGGTTTTGCTGAGAAAATAGAAAGTTACACCCTGGTCTTAAAATAGCACCCAAGGTTCTTTTCTGTACTTTTCTCAAATAAAAGCATCTGGGCAAAAAGCCACTTACGATTCGAATAAAATACACCTTTCAAAAAAACACAAAGTCAAATACATGTAGATCTCTGAGGATCCACTCCATCCATAAATTCCGATTAAAAAATAAGCGCAAAACGATACAAAATGTCATTTCATTTCATGTCTTGAATACTTCAAATATTCATTTCTCGAAAAGAAAAAAAAGGCATTTCCCATTGTAACTTGTTGAGCTTTTCAACCCGTACATATATTTTCATTTTGGGAACTGGGAAATTGAATCCCTAGAGCAAACAACTTTCTAACAGGTTTCACATATCAGTACAAAAATATATTGCATACAATACATTAATAATTGCTATGATTTGGCACCGTGCCAAGTCATTCCAGGAAAGGTTAGCTCCTAATACCCCATTCCATCCATTGGAAAGTTCTTCGGAAGTCCTCAAGGCAATTCTCTTGTTTACTTCCTGTACTTTTTCCGTAGCCTTTCCCTAACTTTTCCCATAAACTGACCAATACATTTAGGACTATTCTGTAATTCTTAATTTTATCCAATACCCATGACAATGAAGGAGAAATCCTATTTATCTTTTCATACTTCATGGTTTATCGTATAACTTTTCAGCATCTTTCCAAAAATTACCCAACTCATCAAATCTTCCATGATGGCAACTCAGTTACATGCATTTTGTGTTTGAGTTTTTAAATGGTCTTTCCATACCTTTTTCCATGCAAAATTAAACTCTTCCAAGAAGTTGGCATTTGCTTATCCAATGCAGTTTCTACTGATGCCTCATAAATATTGTTTCCTAAGCAAGAGCACACAACCAAAGACATCCATTTCTTTCCTGACAACTGTTCATAGCATGTTTCCTATTCTTCATTGCATTCCACTATTGTATTACATCACCCACTAACAGACGTGGAGTGGATGCTAGTCCATTCAGAAGCATTAGAAATGATGCGGGTTGGGAACAAAAATGGGATGCTATATAACCATTTCATGCAGTTACCTGTAATTCACAACCCTTAATGCATATGCATGAGCATATCAACATGACGTGCATTGCTCAGTGAAGGGGTTAAAGTATCCCATAAACCGTGTGATTTAACAACCCAGTTTTTCTAAACAACAAACGTATCATGGATGCATACCATTTCTAATGGTCCGTCGTATCAATAAAGACAACCCACATTGCTCATACCAAGCCAACTATGACAACTGTAAAACCTAACCAACTGGGACGCACTATATAACGTAGAGACATGCAGATAAAATTAACTCCAAATTAATTACAATACTCTCGGGGGGCAAAAAAGCACTTTTAACATGACCTTCCAAATCATTATTGTAAGATTCCATTCTGAGTAAGTAGCAAATGTACACAGGAGCTAGAAAAGATACTGAGCACAATACATCATGGAGTCATCGTACAAACAAGAAAAGGCAAAGTAAAAAGACTGAGTAAGTTTCAAACATTGGTAAAAATATTTACATCTTCCTGAAATGAGAGTCCTCATCTATGTTGCAAATGGAAACTGAATACTCGCAGTTTGTGTCTTGAATAGGATTCTGACATTTGTTATTGTTTATACTGTCATGATGTGCACAATTTACATATCTCAGCAGAAAGGTCTTTATACAAAGCAAAGCCCTTGCATAAAACAAGCTAGTATCGTGAAAAACAAATTATTCAGTGTTTGAAAACTCAACCACACGAATAATACCAGCACTCAGAAACCTCCTTATTACTTCATCAGAAGGGCGTTGATGCTAACTTTGACTCAACGATTGAAAAAAAGACTCCATCTTCCCACAATGCATTGTGCTCTTGCTTTCTCCTGGCAGAAAGTAACTTTAAAGAAGAAAAGAAACAAAAACAACTACAACACAAATATTTCCACAAAAAGGTAGCAAAATCACTTATTTTTAAGTTCTGCTCTGACACGTTTGGTTGCTCGACCACAGCAAAGCCCACCAAAAAACAGCACTCCTATTATGACCAACAAGACGGTGAGAAAATAACCACGGGCTTCAGATGCATTGATTGCAGCCGCTAGGTCTTGGAGTGAATTTGGTGGGGATTCCTAAGGAAGAAAAAAATGACAAAGACAGAATTAGTCAAAGCTGTGAGAGGAAAACTGGCTGTTTTCATGTGGAATAGTTTGAAAATTACCTAAAGGGATCAATGCTGTTCCATGTACATACTGCAGTCAATGAATGCAGAGCAATGTTATGTTTAAGAAATTCAAATATGTAAGCTGTTGCATTGTTTTAGGTTCAGAGCATTAACACCTTACTTTCCTTCCTCAAACTCTGAAGAGCAAAATGTGCACAACTTGAAGCAAACTTACATCGGAGAGCATGCAATCTTCAGTGATAAGTGTGCTTAAACATTGTGTATTCTGGCATATTAATTACAATAATGCCTGCAAACCAAAGCAACTGCAGGTGGAACACAAAAAAAAAACTGCCACACAGAGCATGCCCTTGCATTTTTGCATGAACTAAACTGAATAAACAAGTGATCTATGGATAAAGCTGGCATTATAGTCACTTACTCTGACTGCATAACTCCACATTTCCTTGCGTTCGGACAGCATTCGTTGACAGTCAGCATGCAGTTTGATAGTACTGTCCTCCAGAGCTTCAAGTAGACATGACATCTCTGCACCAAGGATGAATAAGATGATCATTTAAAGGCATTTGTATTTCAGGAATCAGGTTTACTTAAAATCACTAGTAAGAACTTACTCAACTAAACTCAACTCACCACCTGTGAGTTGCGACTCACCACCTGTGAGTTGCGACTCACCACCTGTGAGCTGCGACTCACCACCTGTGAGTTGCGACTCACCACCTGTGAGTTGCGACTCACCACCTGTGAGTTGCGACTCACCACCTGTGAGTTGCGACTCACCACCTGTGCATTCTGAAGCTTGAGTCAGAGATGTATAACAAATCCTCAAATATACTTGTGTAACACTCTAATTCCCCCAAAACATTCTCCAAGAATATGCATTTGACAATTCCAGGGTAAAAATTGCACATATTTCATGGTATATCAAGCTCCCTATAAAGGCATTTATATTTCAAGTATCGGGTTCACTTAAAATCACTACAAATAAGGACTTTCAGAAAATGTTACCTGTTTAAACTCACTTCAGTGGGTGCTAAAAATAGTAAAAATAAATACTTGTACATTCAAAGAACAACTGCCAACAAAAACACAATTTAATAGCAGGAACAAGGGCAAAAAATCACTTGTTTTCAAAATGACTGCAAAGAATCTTGATGTTGATCCATTTTCAGATTGTTCTCGAAGGCAGCCCAACATGGACAGGTGAAATACTTACGTCGGCCTTCCCCTTGTGGAATACCTGCACAGAAATGCTTGATGTCCAAGGCACAAGCTTTGTAAAGGAGAGTATCAATATGAACATCAGCGCGACCCTCTTGAAGCAGCCGAATCACTTGCTGGAAAATTTAAATTAAATTTAAACAAAAACGTTTATTTACATAACAGTTTATTCACAAGTTTTTAGAATCTACCAGTTTCTGTTTAAGTGAAATGAACACACTTGTACAGTTTACGAAACGGAAATTATTAAAATATATTTATTGTAGAGGAAAGAACTGAATATTGGGTTGCTATTGACATCTTAATCTTATTTTATCCCAAACATTCCTGTCCTGCCAAATGGACTTATCACATCTCCACAACTACAGTAAACTTGCTGAAGAAGACGATATCAGATTTCTTGAAGACATGTCTTCACATCTCTTCCAGAAAACGGATGTTATCCGTGGAAGCAATGGTTACTTTAAATACTACATCCAATCAGATTTGGATAAGTAACCCATTAGACATAGGTGCTCACCATACGGCATTTGAGATCAGTGATCTTGCCCTTGTGTAGATTAGTCTTAAGACATTCCTCTACTAATCCTTGACCTGGAGTCTCCAATTCCTCAGAACAAAGCCTCTTTGCTGTATCCTTACACATACGGAAGAGGACAGGATCCATCCTAATATCCATTGATGCTTCTTGAATGGCCTACAAAATAGAATCAACGAAATCCACACAATATAAAAAACATGGATGTCAACAGTCCATTTTTTTAAATCCATCACAAAAAATCCATGGTTTAAAAGGGCTACTTCAATCATTGGAGTGAAGTAATCACCAGATGAAAACAGCTCCAATCTGCACAGTTGTAAGCCCATCCTCTCAAGCATCAGTAACGATTTCACTTGTGAAGGTTGAAACTATTTTCAAGTACAAGTATGTCAACTGAGAATATTTTGAAATTGAGTTCAAACCAAAAAAAACAAAATGGTAATCCTTTCAACTTACATCTCTGATGTAATTCTCACAATCTGGTGACAGAGTCTGTGGGAAAACAAAAGAAATTAAACCACAATAAGTTTTAAAAACCTACTTGTCTGGCATTTGGAAGCAAGAGAAAAAAATCTTCACACCTTTTTATAATTATTTCAGATGTGAAGAATCATTGCTAAACCACTGACTAATACAGTGGAACACTGCTATATCGAACACCGCTATACCGAACATTCGGCTGTACCGAACATCGTCCTTGGCTCCCAATATTTTGTACACAAAACCTACCGAACATTATGCAGTAGCTGTTTGTAATTCCCAAACGTCAACTTGATAAAACAGTCAGGTTTTTTAAGTTGGAGAGTGACAAACGGCCATTATTTCCCCAAGGATTAGAAAGGAAAGCCATTAGTTGTTGAAGAGTTAATTGTAATTAACTAGTGGAGAAATTCTGTACATTGGTCACACTTGTTCAAAGCTGTCTTCTAGTGATGGCCAGGGCACACGCGCTTAATCTGCCAACAGTACTGAATGGACACTGGTTTTGCGACTCTGCATGATCAGGTGAGGAAGAAAACAACACGCGCACCGTGGCATTACATTAACATTAGTCTAAAGAGGGAGCTGCTGATACACAAGTCGCCGAGATTCCCCACGGCATGCATCAGAGATCGATCCTGAGCGGTAGCTTCCCAACTTTTAGGATAAGCTGAAATCAATTTTGTAATTTAAGATTTAAGAAAAAACAAAAACAACTAACAGATACATTTTTAGAAACCTTAAACGTGAATGCAACGGCAAAACATCACGATAACAGTGAACCATAGTATCACAAGAGGATGCATTTCAGTCATAGACAAGAGAGGGCACTATTCAACATGGCAACAAAACATTTGGCAGTAAATTTCACTATCCCGAATGACTGCTGTACCAAACATTTAGCATGGACACTGGCGTGTTCGTTATAGCGGCGTTTCACTGTACTTAAACTATCCAAAAGTTGGACAACTGGGTTATTCTTATATCTTTTGTTGCGTGTCAATAAGGCCTCATTCATGAAGGCAGTTTTGAGGCAGATGAATAAGTTCCCACCTTGGTGGGGAATTTCTTCTTGAGACAAAGCAGCATTTCTCCCTCCAATTCCTTTTCTTTGTATTCCTCCTTCTTGGATTTATCCAAGACATCACTGCAGAACTTGGGCATGTCACGCCGACAAGCTTTCTGCATTCTTGGGTTTAGACGAAAGTCTTCCTTCCGTTGGATGGACCGCTTAGTTAAGACAGTTTTGCAGCTAAGAAATCAAGGAAAAATTATTCCCAATGAAACACTCAGGTCTTGAAAACATGAAAAAAATGTTACAATCATGAACATCACCTTTAATAAAAATTGAAACTTATCTGTCAGAATAGGCAATTTAATGACAATTAAACTCTCTTCTGGGGCTCTTTGAACCACAATGGAACCATTTTGTTAGACATCTTATTTACACATGAACAAAACTGAAATTGTAACCAACAAATACTCTTAATATCAGAAAGTTACCCTTGCACAATGTCTTCACAGTCGATAAGGCAATATCAATAAGAGACATAAGCCAGAAAGCGCTAGTTGGTTTCTGAATTTCAAGAACACACACAACCAAGCAATCTGTTCGTGCTCTTGGAACAAAGAGTTTCTACTTACTTGGAGTCAAAAGTTGGTTCATTTTTGTGAGACTTGAGGCATTTGAAAAGGCTCTCTGGGGGTGTCCCTGTGCAAAATTGCTGCATGATGAAAAGACAAAAAGCACTCCATGGAATTACATTCTTTACTGTAGCAACGATTAGTCACAAGCAAGGGCCTGAAGATAAACTATTTGCTGTTCTTGAGTATGCTTCCCACATACTCAAGATTGATAGGAACAAAGTAAATACAAAAAGAATTTCCTTTGTGTCAAGCTTGACAGGGCATTCATCGCAAAAAAACTGCATTTGAAAAATAGTCCTTAACAATGAGAGTTGGTTCTATTTTTAACAACCTGCAATTGTAGGCTTATACATACCGTGATCATTTTCTTGCATGCATGCATAAATGCAAAGTCGGTCTTGACTAGCTGAGCTTGTTCTTTGACCCGGTTGAACAACTTCACGTGGCATGCTTCTGACAGGTCAGAACGGTGATCGCGTAGACATTCTAGAATCCTTGCTTTGCCAGCTTTCAAATTATTGCAATGTTTCTGAACATCACCTTCACAACCTTTGAAGAGCTCTGGATCCAGTTTAATATCCTCTGACTGATGGACAAAGAGATTTGGATAAAATGCAGAAATGTAAGAAGGCTATTTACTTTCAACAGAGCTAAAGGTGTAATACTACTTTTCATATTAAATATTCATATAAATCAAGAAAATCAAGACGACAGAGAAGTCTTGTAATGGCTCAATTTCAATCTCTTAATGACACAAGTCAGACTTGATTCAAGTCCCATTTTAATGACCTGACTAAAGTCAGACTTGTATTCAAGTCCCGTTGTTAATGACTTGTCTCACGTCAGACTTCATTCAAGTCCTGATTGAAATCCAATTTTTAACTGCATAGTGCAAATCACTTTTTCAAATGGCTCAACTTAGGCTAGAACCATGACTGGAATTGACTTGACTCAGACTTGGCTTTTCCATCTAGAGTCATCTGAAGAAGAAAACGGTGATTAATTTATTTAAAAGCTTAAACAAGAACTTGGCGTGATTTAATTGACAGGCCTGTTGACTTAGCAAATGAATTGCCTTCACTTGACTTGGGACTCAAGTCTGGAAATATAGGTGACTTATTACACAGCACAGGGGTTATGATACAGTAGGTAGGCATGATGCCTACTGTGAGTACAGCAGAACCTATGGAATGATAGGCAACAGGTAGCATGATGCCTACTGTGAGTTCCGCAGAACCTATGGAATGATAGACAACAGGTAGCATGATGCCTACTGTGAGTACGGCAGTACCTATGGAATGATAGGCAACAGGTAGCATGATGCCTACTGCGACTACGGCAGAAACATTGTTAACAATCCCATTCTGTTGGACCATTCCCACTGGAATGTCAGCGTTCCATCGGAACGTGCCCGCATCGGGGGCACGTTCCACTTAGCATAGGACATTCCAGGCAGCATTCTGTTGGGAATGCGTGTTCCCAGTAAACGGTCCCGCTGTTACATTCACAATTGGGAAGAAAGATTTCTGGCATTCATTTCCTAGACCCTGTGTCTGAAGTATGACAGATAGAGCAACGCATTTTGTGATTTACTACTCATGAAGATTAACTTTTCTCCCGTTTTGATTTCCATATTCACCAGGAAACATAGCTTACCATGCAATGAATTTAGAGTATTTCTGGAAAACCTTCATTATTGTGTTTACTGTTACGTCTGTACTCGTGAGCATTTTACTCCTTGGTGGGTTTACATGGAAGAAAAGTTTATCATCACAATGTTATCACGCATGAGTATTCCATCGTATCACAAACAATTTGGAAACCTAACCTGTAATTGAAGGGTGTGGGGTGCAGGGTCTTTTAAAAGTACTAAAAAGGTTCAACGACACAACTAAGGCAATTAAGCTCGACGCATGCAGTCAACACATAGTGCTTTTCACTTTTGTATCTCAATCAAAAACAAAATTTGTATGTTCAGATTAACAAATTTTGCCACAGCACTTTTCCATCTTCAGTTTACTGCCGATTCTTATTGAAAATTAGGCCTATCATAAGAGCAAAGTAGTTTACCTGCGCTCATTCCTTATGGCAGGCTCTGTTTTTGGACATTAAGCTAAGATTTGTACATGTACATGGGCGATATGAAGCTACCAGAACGGGGGCATTCTGACGGGAATGCTTGTTTGGACCATTCTCACATAGGAACACAGCATTCCGTGTGGAATATTGCGTTCCCAGAAGCCGACTATTCCAGAATGAGAACATGGCGTTCCAAAAGGAATGTTCCAACCGTTCCGAATTATGAGATGTTCCCTAAAAGTCACAGGCCCTCATGAGCAGATTAAACACTGCCCTCAACAGAACCATTGGCAAAGTACCATCCTTCGTGATTAATAAAATCATCCACATATTGGGATTTTCTTGCTTGTTGGAATTCTTGGGAATAGTCATTGATCAGGACTAACCCTCTGCAGTAGTTCTGCTTTGAGCTGTTTGCGGCAATTCTCGCTGATATTGTGTTGATGTCCCATTAGTATAGCATCTCGAACTTTGGTGCTCAGGCAAGAAATGATGGAACTCCTGTCGCCAAGAAAGATGAAAACTCCATGACAATATCCACATCTCTGGCCAAGACAGTTCTTTGTATTGAAAACAGTCATTGCTGGTAAATACAATCTATTTTTAAAAAGTTGACAGAGTTAATTGATTGCCTCAACCCACTGCTTATCTTGGTCAATCTCTTTATGACAATTTCTTAACAAAGGCCTTTCAATTTGTGGAATGGTCTCCCAAAGTTCATTTAACAAAATTTGACGTACTTGTCCTTTGCATTTTTGCAGTATTTGATGACATCTTGCCGACAAGATTCCTTAAATTTGAAGTTGAAACGATAGTCCTGGAGCTGGATCTGGGGAAAAACCATGGAAAAGCAAACCATGACCTGAATCAAGCAATTCGTGAATGGGACAAGTACTGCAGGGATTAATTTCGGCTCAACTACCCACTCATCCAGTCAATGCAATGCACAACCCTACATTAACCCACCTATGTGGAAGTCACTCTTTGGGTCATTTGGTGAACACCACAAAGAAGCACCGCTGTGTCGTGTTGTGCACTGCACCAACATTCCCCCACAGGAATATCAGATTGCACTTTTGTGCTGCCCAACAACTGTGCTTCACTGTTTCGTGTGCATAACTGTGCAGTAAACCAAATGCAGTGAAGAGAACTGCACAAAAGACCCTGGGTCATTTTGTGCTGGCAATCTACTGTGTACACACTTAACCTGTGCATGTTTGTGTTCCATGTAGAAAAGACATGCTCACCAGTGACTGTGGGCATTTGTGCACATTTGTGCTGTAAAACCAAAGGAGGGTTAATATGACTACTCCAAGTCAATATAGCCACTGCACAGAACCAGCTGAAAAAGCCTAACCATATCCATAACTTAACACAAAAGTAACACTCATGATGCTTACCAACTGGAAATGCTCAATACCAGCCTGGCATTTCTCATTCATAGAGTCGTCATTTTTGTGATCTATCAAACACTGAAGGGCTGCCCCTTCATCCACTTTCTTGCTCAAAAAATCCTACAAAAAACAGAGAAAGACAAATCTGATTAGAAACTAGACAAATTGTCAGGTGTGCCATAAACTGACCATAAAAATAAGAAATAAAGATTTGCTTGGAACAGATATTCTTGAATGAAGATTTAATTATCTGTATCTGTAAACATGAAATAGGACTTACCTTGCAGAGCTGTTTGATCATAGGAGCACACGCAGCCATAAGTTTACGGTTCATCTTAATGTCTTCAGCTTCCTCTTGAGTGAAATCCCCGATCTTTGAATGACAATCTTGTGTCAATTCCTTCAGATGTTCCTGTAAGCATGACAACTCCTGAAACAAGGCAAAAGTGAAAAACAAAGTATACGTTTATCTACAGCAGGTGGCAAATACCTGAATTTTAGCAACTCGGTAACATCTGACGGATGAAACTAAGGAAATTGATACTTCATTAAAAAAATTGATACCTAATTCTAAAACTATACAAGTACATACCTCCCCTTTGCCAGTCTTCTCATTACAGTATTTTCCAAGGTCTTCACGACAGTTCGCTTCTATCTGAGGATTGAGGTGTACGCTGACAGCACGCTGACGCAGAACACGATGAACCTGAGCCTGACATCCTGGTGTTAGCTGGAAACATCAATAGGGATGACAAGCCTACATTAAAAAGAAGCCTCAAGAAAAGCCTAACTTGTGATCAGTAAGGTGCCCCTAAACACAACAGCCAAATAACATTTGATGTAGTATGACTGTACACACCTACGCAAAAGTCTTCCTCACAACTCTTAAAATACACAGCTAACCTCTCTCTACATATGTGATGCCCGAAACCAGCAAAACACAGAAAAAAACAATCCACTCCCCCCTCCCATTTTTACCTTGTCAAAATCATTCTCAGGGTGGAGATATCTGTGGAGACAAGCAACTACAACTCCCTGTGGCAGCTCACTGTTGTCTGCACTTTCTATATAACACTTCTCAGCAACATCTCGTTGACAGTTCTTAAAGAGGAGAGGATCTAGCCTGTAAAGACAAAACATGGGAAGTCAGATTCATGCAAAAGTCTTATAAAGATACAGTCTCCAGGATGATTTTAAGAATATTTAGTTTGTCAGAAATTTTTAAAAAGTGATTGTTAATACATGAAATCAAAGTGAAACACACACTGGGGCACTGTGTGAGCCGCAATATATTTTTAATTCCGAATACAATTTAAAAACCTGTTCTTCCTGAAACTGAGGTGCAGGTGTTACAAAGCTGATACTCCAAATGATGCCTTACTTGAAATCTCTGGCGACAAAATATTGAAGGAGAAGCAGTTCTGTCTCACACTCTTTGGTCATTTCAGAAGAGTAGATATTCTCCATCAGACAGGAAAGTATTCTTTGGGGAAAACATGCAAATATATTTAATTTCTGCACACTTCAACTGCAATATGCTAATAATTAATGTTTTTCTTATTACTGCCTAGGTCAGAGTGTACCAAATGTACTTTTCATCATGACAATATTTCTGGGACTACAACTTTTCATAGATAGGTAACCAGTTGGTTGTAAAGTGCACTCGGGACTTTCTACGCTAACAAAGTGCTCACTGTCAGCTGAATATGACCACAGTGTTGACCGTATCACATGACAAGTAAAAAAAAATTATATAATAAGAAATATGTAAATCAAAATGAAAAGTTGAACTTCAACTAAAACTCCCAAAAGGAGAAACAATTGGCTTTTGATTTCCATTCTCTTTATCCAGGACAATATTTGGAATTTGATCTTCATATCTGTGTTTATATACCGGTACCGTCTTTCAATTTCCAAGCATGAGATTGTTCTGTGACTTGGCGTTTGTAATTTGCATGAGCTACACTGAACACCTGTTAACAACAAAATCATCAATGAATACCACGCAGACCCATTGTTTACATAAACGTGGCCAGATGGATGACTACAAACACCTAGATAGAACATGTGTCTTTTTCTCAACTATTCAAATAAACACCTTACCATTAAACCCCACTGCCACTCCAAAGAGCGGATATAAAGGTAACATAAAAGTACTAGTACAACCACACAAGTACCGGTAAGCAGTGAATTTATACAAAGTCCTGAGCAAATTGAGATACATATAAGTATCCAATACAACACTATGGAAATTGCATGGCTATTCACTTAGCAATATGAAGCTCTGAAGCTCAATCATGAAACTACTTTGAGAAACACAGACCATTTCATTGCCTTTCTGTCACAATGACACTGAAATCTAATCCAAAGCAGTAATCTATCACATCAACAAATCCCTCTATCTCATCTGTAATCCGTCTCTGAATATGGAATAAACTCTTGCCTCCAAACTCCATGCTGGCCAAATAAAAAGGGAGGGAAATATCTGGAGGGTATCTGGGGTGTAGAGTGACTAATTGTCCACTTTTCCTATGTTCAAGCTCTCTCGATTAAATTCTTCTCGCAACTAAACTTACTTGGCATCTCCAGCTTCAACATCCTTGCATAATTTATCCCTCACTGGTTTACAAGCTTTGTGTAGCGCTTTATCAATTCGATAGTTGGCTCCCGCGTCAGCTGTTTTTACCAGATCTTGCAACTGTGGAAGACAGATTCATGGACAATTATATCACAAGTTAAACCCTCTCCTAAGTATAAATTTAATTCAATTTAATGGTTTGGCATTTTTACTAAAAAAGGATGTTGGAATTTTAACTGACAATACACACAAACTGACCTTCTCAGATCACCTATCATTCAAATGGGTGGCCAACATTATTTTGCAGATATATCACCCTTGATTGTCAAATATCACCTAAAAATGTAAGTCTGCCCCATTTAGTATCTGTTTTACATTGGTTTTGTGACAGGTGTGTGAGATTTTTTTACACTGGAATTATTAATTTGCCTTTGCATGGACAACTGGTCATAGTGTAGCCGCCGGTGGGAAGCAAAAACAGACTGACATAGAAAGAGCTGGCCATATTGACAGACACTCATGTATTTAAATATGTTGAACCATCTTAAAAAAAAGTAGCTTGGTGAGATGCACATTAACATGTACTATCTAGATCACCAACAGAGAGGCAGATTGTCACACAAATCATCCAGCTATAGCCACTATACCAAGGTAACCATCTGTGGTAGAAATGGGTTGCCATAGCAACTTCTGCATTGGCATGGTAACTGGTGAAAGCTAAGGTATATCACAATTTCAGTTTAATTATGCAAGGCGATTTCTGCATGTTAAATTAGTTACTTTTGTTGAGAAAATAATTTTCCAGTTGGACGATTAAACAGTAGAAAGTGTTCCAGGACCGGCTTCATTGTCATAAAGCATTTTATGCAATTAAAAAAAGAAACCCGAACAAACCTTATCACATATTTTAAATCAAACTGCTCCAAACCAAACATGTTAGGAATAAAAAATGTATAAAGAAATCAAACATCACAGGGTATGTTTCCAAAGCTGAAAGCTGTTTCAAG